GGAAGGGAATGGAATTTCAGATCGTTCCATGGCATGCTCCCAGTGACCTATTTCCTCCAACTAGGTCCCACCTCCCAGTAGGAATAATTGGAATTATTAATACATCAAATGGATTAATCCACATGAAGTTAGAACTTTTATATCCAATTGTTTCTTAAAAGCCCCGCCTCTGGATATTTTTCCACTGAGAACCAAGCCTTGTACACAGGAATCTGTGTGGGACACTTCATATGCCAACCATAAATTTCTACCCTGGTCCCAAGAAACTCATGCCTATCTCATAATGCAAAATGCATTCAGTCCCAAGAATCCCCATAGCCTTAACAGTTCTACCAGGTCTCAAAAGTCTAATTTCAATATCTCCTCTAATATTCAAGACAAAACCTTAGCTGTACACTCTTATATAAAAAAAAAAGTTCTATGCTTCCAACATATAATGACAGAGTAAACCTTCCCATTCTAAAAGGGAGAAATAGGCACATAGAATGAAGGAACTGGACCAAAGCAGTGAAAACATTAAATTCTGTAGGTCCACGTTTAGCTTCTGAGACAATGGTAGCAAGACCTGGGCTCTTAGGGCTGGGGAAGCCCCTCCACCTCTGTCCTTACTGGTTGTAACCCCTATGGCTCCTTCTTCTGGTTCTGCTCCTAGTCTGCAGCTTTCCTTGGGAGACATTCTACATTCTAGGAATCTCTTAATTCCTGGAATTCCACTGCATCATTTGCTTCACTCTCAAAGTTTCACACTTTGTCTTCTCAGGGTTCACCTTCAGGGATTCCAACTCTGAAACACAGTATCTGGCTCTCACGCCTTCATTTGAACTCTCTGTTTAAGTCTGAGAGACTCCTCTAACTCTAGCATCCTGCATTCTAGCAAAACCAGCATCATGTGGATGATAGCAAACTGTACAGCTAGCCACAGCTCTCTTCTGGACCTCTTAAACCATGGTAGCAGCAGTTCTGAATGCATGCGCAGCTAAGCAGGGTGTTTTAGTTAGCTTTTTCACCACTGCAACTAAAAGACCTAATCAGCACAATTGTAGAGGAGGAAAAGATTATTTTGGACTCACAGTTTCAGAGGTCTCAATGGATAGACAGCAGGCTCCTTTCCTCCGGGCTCAAGATGAGGCAGAACATCAGAAGAGTGTGGCAGAGGGAACCAGTTCACATGATGATTAGTAAGCAGATAGAGGTCTTCACTTGATGGAAGTGAGGACTCTTTGGGGAACCAGACTGGAGGCCATTAGTAATACATCCTGGAAAAGAACATATGTACACTTTTCCATGTCCTTAGGCTTTGTATGAAGTTGAATTTAAATGTGATGGACTAATTATTCTGGTGGAGAAAATTTCAGTGCAGCAGAGCATTTTGATCTGTTTGACCATCTTTATAATAAAAAATCAGGACTAAATATCAGAGCAGAAAGATTTTGAAAATTTTGTAGTTTGGCCAGAATTTAGCATGACTAAAAGCAAAACAAGTATTTCTCATAGAGACAATAGGAGAGACGCCTTGAGGGCATTCAGGAATTGACCAACCTGCATAACAGGCTCAAGTGTGTAAAAATGAAAACATGTTGACAGACTTTAAGAAGAGTCCTTAGCACAGGGGTGCCTAAGAAGTTCTTTCCCTAGGATTCCTTTCACCCTGTGTTATAGCTTGGATGTGAGGTGTCCCCCAAAGGCTCACATGTGAGATAATGCAACAAGATTCAGAGGAGAAATGTTGGGTTGTAAGAGTGTTAACTCAATCAGTGATTAATCTCCTGATAGGGATTAACTGCGAGTAAGTGAAGTGGTAGGGAGTTGCTGGAAGAGGTGGGAATTGGAGTCATAAAATCACATTTTATTCAGAGAGGCCATATTATTCCTCAGACACTTTTAGGTTAAGTCTGATGTTTGCAGGCACACCAACACTCTCATTGGTGTGCATATTCCTGCACACCTCACCCAGTTAGGACAAGAGTGAGGTGGAACTCAGCCTTTCCTCTCATTCATCTTCAACATTCCTTCCTGAGTCAGCATTGTTATACTGCTTTTTCTAGCATTAAATAGAGAGATTTACCATATTTTCTGGTGAACTACACTGCATTATTTAGTTTATCAATTCTAGCCTTTGAAAAACCTGAAGCCTGCAATTCTGAAGCCCAATTTAATATTAACATCATGAATATAAAATGCAAAGACTGTAAATAACAATACTTATTAACGTATGGGAGTAGAGAGGGGTATGTGATGCTCAGGATTATTCTTCATATGTTCCTAGATTTTCAGGATTAAGAGTTCCTGTCTTTTCTGTAACCATTCCTTACAATTCCCTACCTGTACATTTCATTACACACACAGAAATAAATATCAATACTTCATGCCTGATATACACCAAAAAAATTAAAAATCAGCCAAAACTATCAATATCTTATTTTAAGAGTACTAAAAATTTAAACAAACCCTAGTTTATTTATTCTTTGTATTATAACCACCTATGTGTATACTTTTTCTTATGATAAAGAACACATAATAAAATTTATCATCTTATCCACTTTTAAATTGAGGAACATTCAAAATATTTCTGTTTTCCATAAGTTGGAAAAAATTAGTTTATAGAAATTTACTTAAAACATGTATGTATTCTCATGTAATTTGCTTTTATTTCCTTGGATGTAAGAACTATAATGGAGGAGACTGATATATTTAGTTTAAAATAAAGGAATGCACAGGAATAAATAAAGTGTCACTTAATATTTATACTCCAGTTAGTTTTCTTGGGATGCCAATCAATATTGCAAGAATACTGCTGCTATGGAAAGTTCCTCAATATGTTGGGGAGGGATGAAGAAAGGGAAGAAAAAGTGAGTAATTTGGAGAGATGTGAAAGAGGAAATGCACATACCACTTCCCCTATTTTTGAAGCCATTCTCATGTACCTTAGATATGAAGTTTATTAACATCTATTGCATTTATATATACTTAAAAGTAACAATATTTATTTATAAGCTGTCTTTTGCCTAAAAAGTTCAGAAACATTTGGAAAAACTGACCTCATGACTGAAATAGGAATGCAGTCTCTCAATACACCTGGAAGGTGACAACACTTAAATATGAAAACTGTGGTTCTCATGTTAAAAAGTCATTTCAGTAGACAGTAGAGCCTAAAACATGTCACCACTGAAAGTCAATGAAGAAAACCTTTGTATATGTAAAAACACAGTTGTGCTTTATGCACTGCTCCTATATCCCAAATGAAGTAGGGATGACAAATAAATGGAAGGGTGGGTAAAAGACACAGATTATATTGAAGTACACTATATCAGAACCAAATTGCAACCATGTGAATATTTCACAGTAAGCTTATAAGAATCTCTAAGATTACCTGAAGTATCCAGGGCCACTGATGACCCACCAACTTTCTAAATGAACGCCAGAAAATCCATCTGAACTGATGGCAGAAGGTGGTGACATACGTGATCTCCTTGAAGGACAAGCTTCCATAATTCTGGCCACCTGAAAGTTTCTCTAATTCAGTTTCTGTTTCTCTGAGGAGAGGGGATTTGGTATAAAACTGAGCCAATTCTTCGATCATTTGCAGTTTTCTCATAAACAGCTGTCCAGCCTCATTGACTTTGGAATAAAAGTAGAAAAAGAAGAGAAACTTTATTAAACCAAATAATTTAATCCATTTTTCTATGATCCAATTTGTGGATAACAAATTTTAAAGCTTACATATAGAAAAACTACTAGCATTATTATTGCTTTACACATCAGAATAACAGGGAATTAACATGACTTCTTCCTGAATCTTATGGTGACTGTAAATACACAGACCTTTTCATAAATATGGGAACCCTAATCCTTAAAACAGATTCCTTAACATACAAAATTTAAGTCTTAATAAAAATATTTGGTCCTTGTTTTCTATTATTTCCAAAACATGAAGTGCCAATTTCTGTCTCTAAAAATATGACAAAAATTATTATATTTATTTTTTAATGAAAACTCCTTTTACAACTGCGTGTAGCACAAAAGTGGTCATTCATAAATTCAATTAAAAATATCCATAGCACTTATGAATAATAAAGCCTATATGTTAACTGTTATTATAACATTATACTAATAGGAATTCAGAAAGCCATGTTTTAATGAGCCACCACATGGCTGACCTTCAGCCAAATCAACCAGGCAAAAATCTATGAATCTAAGACATTCATATACCTTCATAGACCTTCTTTCTGTTTACTATCACAGGAGAGGAGTCTCCATTGATGACATCCATGAAGAAGTCTGAAGGGTTGTTGTAGAGCTCACAATGATAACCTATCAAAAAAAAGCAAACAAAGATGATGTTAATGGAAAGTACAAAGGACCCACTTCCAAAGAGTGAGAGAAGTGAGGCTAGGGTAGACAGAATCTAACATTTTTCTGTGCCATATTTGCTTTCTTCTCACATTACTAATTTTATACTTTCTTATTCATTCACACAACATTTCAACAATCCTTTTTTTCCAAATCATGTGTGTGTGTGTAAACACACACATGTATAATACATACATACATATATCACATACATGGATATGTATGCATATATACATGTATATATGTATACATGAATGTGTGTGTTTTTTCTGGGAGTTCAATCTTGGACTCATAATATATTGGTCCTTTTTTCAAAATCAATCAATGCTTATCACTTCTTAAATATAGACACAAGAAAAAAATGTGTGGGTTTATTGTGTTTTCTGAGTTCAATAAGTAATGCTGAAATAGCACTATGCATGTCAACAAGATTGCTTCTCCAACTATTAAATTCAAAGGTTGAAATTATCACTTTCGTGTCATGCTTCCATAATTCAAAATAGACAACAAATTGCCAGAACTGAATTCTTGAGAGAACATGTTCAGTACAGCACACTTAAACTCTCACTTCATCTACTTATGGCACAATCATCTGAACTTGGCCTGAGATCTGACTCTTAAGTTTATCTCCTCTGGGCTTTTTAAACACATACATGTTTAATTTTAAATGGCTGAGAATAAATTTAAAAAATTAAGATAGCTAATGAATATTTAAGAACACTATTTTGGGTCATGAAAAAATATCTATAATTTCCAAATGTCTCTAAAATGAAGCAGTTTGCTTGCACCATTAAAAAGATCACACAACTTAATCTGAAATAGAACCTGGGAGTCCAGAAATGTTTGTCCACACAGGTCAGACTTAGGACCAGCCATTCCAGTAGCTAATAATAACTCACATTCACTCAAGCCGATTTAATGTTATTAGAAAATAAAGTTGCATCTCCATGAGCCCTCATAAAAGTAGAACAAGATCACTATATGTTACATGGTCTAGAATAAAATGAATGACACTGGGCCTTTCCAAAAATGTTCAACTGCTTAGCTGGCTGTGAGTCAAACCTGTTAATTATTGAACTCTCAGGGAAACATTACCATAAGTAGGAAGTAAAATATATACAGGCCCATGAGAAACACACCCAAACACATGCAAATTCAAATAGGAGAGGATAAGGAAAGAGACTTAAACAACAAGCAAACATTGAAAAATGAAGAAAACTCCTGACACCAAACTGTCCAAAAAGGTTAAGTCTATGCAGAGATGAAGCAGCACTCCTTTTAACCCCTCTCTTCTCCCCAAGGAGTCTATGAATGAAGGATCTAGTGCCTGACAAAGTCAAACACACCTGCTGATTCAAAGTACTCCAAAGCCTTATCTGTGGGACCATGGAACATTAGCTTTCCTAAAGCCAATATGGTGAGGCTGTCAAACAGATTGAAGACAGAATTTTGAAGTTCATGAAAGAAGATAATTGTTCTTCCCTGCTCAGAAATCCTAAATTGGAAGAAGGAATATAATGAGTCATTAGATATCTGAACATTGTACTTCTTGATAAAATACTTTATTGTTCCATGAGCACATTTATCCAAAGTTTAATTTGATTTGTCTCTTATGAACTTCTCATCTTGTGTTATATACATGACACTTGGGGAACCTAAACTAAATGCTTTTATTAAAACCACTAGGGCTTCTTAAAGATGATGCACAACAGTCTAGAATCCATTAGAACGTTCATTGACAATGCAGATTTTCAGACAGTCTTCCCAGATGTTGAATTAGAATCTCTTGGGGTGATTTCAGGGCATCCGTAGTTTTAATAAGCAGTTCAGGCTATCTGTAAGTATACCCAAGTGTAAGAATTAATTATGTAATACATATTAAAACAATGATCATATGACCAGTTCTCATTGATTATTTAAATCTTCTGGCTCTCTGGGTTTGTTCTCATCTTTATGTGCTGATAATGCAGTTGATATTAACAAGTGCTTACTACCTTCTTTCAATTTTCACAATGTTCTTATAACACAGTTCCCCTATTATTACCTTCTTCTATTTCAGATGTCATTTAAATAAGATCAAGCAACTGCCCTAGGAGTCAATGTTACTAAAGGGCAATACTAAGATTTGAACTCTGTTTTAATTCCATGGCAGAAACAGTACTAAATTACCATTTCACAGAAGTTATTATTTATGGTTAAATGGTCAAAATCACTGTTCAAAATTGTTATTAAAATATACATATATGTGTACATATAAGTTGTTTTGTCACCATTTATTTGCCTTTGTGTCTATTTTCCTTGTTCAGGACCTTTTATACCCAAACGATTTAAAATCAGTGTACTAAAGTGAGACAGCCACATCAATGTTTTTATAGCAGTTCAATTCACAATATCTAAGCTCTGGGACCAAATTAGGTGCCCTTCAACAGATGAATGAATAAATGAAATGTCCTATACTATGAACTATTACTCAGCTATAAAAAAAAGAGTGAAATTATAGCATTTGCTGGTAAATAGATGTAACTGGAGACTATCATGCTAAGTGAAATAAGCAAATCTCCCCCCAAATAAATCCCGAATGTTCTATCTAATATATGGATGCTAACACACAAGAAGGGGAGGTGGGGAGGGAAGAATAGAATTTCATTGGATTAGACAAAAAGGAGTAAAGGAAAAGGAGGGGGGATGAGAATAGGAAAGACAGTAGAATGAAACAGACATAACTTTCCCATGTTCACATATGAATAAACAACCAGTGTAACTCTAAATCATGTACAACCACAAGAATGGGATTCTAAGTTATACACTCCATGTATGTATAATTTGTCAAAATACACTCTACTTTCATGTTTATCTAAACAGAAAAAAATAAAAATTAAAAAAAATACTTGGTAATTTGAAACTACTTGCTCAGGTTAATAGGGGCAGGGACATGACTAAATGAAAAGCCAGTTGGAAAGGTCAGAGTATATGAATGGTTCTGTCAACTCTGAACTTTAGAGTGATAAGGGTAAGTTGTTTGTGGAGAGACCCTTAGTTTAGAAATTTCTACTTCAGCTAATTTGATTCCCATGGAAGAGTATCCTATCTTGAAGGCTAGTTGCTGGTGTGTGTGGGAAAAGGACAATCTTGTTATTAAAAATCACTTCAATTTATGCATTCAATTAAATAACTAGCATAGGCTATCAGGATGCCTTCAAGAGAATCAGACCATATGATTAATGATTGTAATACAATATATAAAAGAAGTAGCTAAGGTTTTCTTATTCATAAGCAAAACAGGACAATTGTAACATTTTCCCATCTTCCTGCATCTTCTCTCCTAGAGACTTGCTTAAAAGGACATGAGCTTCAGAGAAAGCAAGGTGATGATAGAGAGGGTAGGCTGTGAAGGTGGTGTTTCTGACACCTTAAAATACAAAGCAGAGTGGTTTGCAGAGGTGGTGCACAAAGAGGGTGGCCAAAGTGATTGAAGACTGATGGCATTAAACAAATGACTTGTCTGAGCAAGTAAGTGAATATATTGAGAAGATGGAGCCAAAATTCTTACTCTCTGAAGTCTTGCATATAATGAAATGGCAAAAATTCATAATTACATGGAGGTATTCAATTGAAATTATAAATATTATTATGAACTCATCATGTGTATTTGAATATATAAATACCAATATGTATCTTTTAATTGGAAAAAATATAGATAAATAGTTAGATAGATAGATAGATGATAGATAGATAGACTGGAACTGCAGTTCAGTGAAAAAACAAGTACTTAGCATTTAAGAACCATGGAGTTGGATCTCCAGAAAAAAATACACACACACACACACACACACACACACACACACACGTGTAAAATGTATTTGTAATCAATATATTTCCAAATAAATATGGAAAAACATTTTCATATTTTATTTATTTATATACATACACATTCATGTGTGTATGCTTCCTAGGTCTGTCTACTAAGGATCTAGAAGCAATGCTACCCCAAAAGCATTGAAAGCACTGAGCAACAAGATCTTGATTTCTAAATATCAACTACAGCGCAAGGAACCATGGTTCTTGGAAGAAACAGCTCACAGAGAAAATGTACAAGATGAGGCTAGAATATCATAGTAACCATGAAATAAAGAATTGTTAGAAGATTGACTAAGGCTATGTGAAAAGAAAACAAAACTTGCATTGACATGACTTCCATTGGCCCAATCAGGGTTAATTTGATAATTAAAACAGTCAATAACAGATTATAACCCATTGCACAAAATGAAAAGTGAATAGAAAAAGAGAGTAATCTCTTCATTCCATAGAATATCCATTAGTATAAGTCAGGTAGTTACCACAAGAGCAGGAATTATTGGTGTATACTAACAATGGTGGGGGAAGATTTGATGAGGAAGAGAATATTGGCATAATAGGCAAACTTCTTATCCAAAAAAACACTAATCAATTTTTAAGGGCATAAATAGTAATTTCCCAGCAAAGAATCTCAGCAGGCAAAAATATGATCAGATGATTGGTCTGTGGTGATTGGTCATCTGTGGTCTCTGCTGTTAACATAATTGCAGCAATCTTTCTTTTCCCCAACCTCACTTTATGAATGCTGTTCTTATTCCCAAGAAATAGAAAGTAGCCCAATAAAAAACCTACTGACCTGGAGACGTGCTAGTCTCTCCTTGTTTTCTCATTGAGAGATAGGAGACAACTAACCGGCCCCTGAGATGGGGATGTACTGGTTTCCCTGTTCTGTCCTCGAGAAGACAAAGGGACATTCTGGTTTCCTTATTCCACCTCTGAGAGATAAGAAAACTGCCTGTCTATATTCCCACCAAGCAAACTTGCCTTCCACAAGATCAGGGGATGCTTACTATGTCAGTCAAGACTAAACCCGCCCCTAGTGCACAGCCATGATTCTAGTCTATAGAAGGTAAATTCAAGGGGGAGTTGCTGTTGCTCTCCTTCTTTGCTGCTGCTGTCCGTCTCTGTGCAGAGCAGCCTTGTTAGGCTCCTGACAATGAACCCACTTTTTCTTTTCTTCCTCTTCCTTTTCCTCTTCCTCCTCCTCCTCCTCTTCTCCTTCTTTTTCTCCTTCTTCTCCTTCTCTTCCTCTTCCTTCTTCTCTTTTTGTATAACGGTACAGTGGCCTCTGTGAAAGCCTGTGGCTTT